TTTGGTCAACTGTGGATTCTCAAAGGCCATGGAGGGGCGGAGATTTGGTCGGCGGCTCGAGTGAGGGATGCATTTCTTTACTCTGCAAGGTGAGTTTTCTCACTATACTTACCTAGAGTGGTAACCTTTTTGTGACCGGAGGGTCTTATGTGTTTATATTGAGTATTGTGATATCCTGCATTATTTCTTTGTGATTTATGCTTTGTATTATTTTTGTGCCTTATTGAGTTAGGGCCGGAGGGTCCAAACTGAGGTGTGAGACCGGAGGGTTTACACTGAGATACCAGACTGGAGGGTCCTACTGAGACACATTGACCGGAGGGTCTTATTGAGTTATAGTCATGAGAGGCTAATGATATATATGTGGTATTTTGCGGAATTCACTAAGCTTCGTGCTTACCGTGTTATGTGATATGTGTTTCAGGTACTTCTCAAGATCGCGGGAAGGCGCAGGCTTGATTGTACACACGAGATGGGGTATTGATTTTGAGGATCCTGGATTTTATTCAAACAATTATGAATATGTGTTTTCGATAATTTGACAACTGAGGGTTTTGCGAAATGTGTTAATGAGATTTATGTGGTTTTAAAATGAAAAATTTGTTTGAAAATTTACGGTGTTACAATAACTCATACAACACAGCACACACATATCCTAGACTCTTCTAGTATTTCTCAATCCTCACCGAACTAAAAACCTCAATCAACACCGCTCAACACCGCATGTTGCCTTATGCATGCAAGTTATACGCAAATAGAATCACATAAACTGTCAAATAAAGTTTCTACCCTAAGTCCACAACCAAACAAGGAATAGGAAATGAGGCAAAATTCATCATTATAAGGTTATGCAATCCTAATCGTATATAACTTTGAAAGCATACACTTAGAAAATAACAGGGTCAACATCGATTTCAAGTAATACATGGCGTCCAATTTTCCCTAGGCTATAAGGCATCACACAAGTCAGGCAATTTTATCATATAGCTCCTGATGGTATCTTTATCCCTACGGTAGCATGCAGTTTCACATATCAAGCATACTAATCGCAACACATATGCATGGGTAATTTAGGAAACACTTACTTGAGCTCGGCCGATCGCACACATTGCACTCTCCCTTTTTTACTTAAGAAAACATTTTTCAGAAAAAAATCGATTATATTTCTTTGAAAAGATTATCATTTCCTCAGTTTGAGTTCTGACACACCCGAGAGTGTGCCCGAATCCCTCAAACCAAGGCTCTGATACCAGTTTGTAACGACCCGGAAACACAATAAAATTTTTCATTTTTAAAACAAGTACTACAAGTATAAAATTTTTCCAAAACCATCATAATGTATAAAAATCACATCATCAAAGTACAATATCAAAATGCAGAAATAACGGGAGAGCATGTTGTGCCATCATGTCGGACCCTTCCCCTTAGTACCGGAAGTACCTGAAACCATAAACACAATCTGTAAGCAAACGCTTAGTATGTTTTCCACAAAGTACCACATACTAACATTAAAATTATTGCTATGGGACAAACCATAGTCTTACACAGAACTCTTGCTGAGGGCCAAATCATGGTCTTCCTTACAATTGCCAGGGACCAGATCCTGGTCTTTCATGCAACTGCCAGGGGCCAGATCCTGGTCTTTCATACAGGTGCCAGGGGCCAAACCCTGGTCTTTCACACACATAACACACAAGTAATTTGTATCCTATAAACAAATAATGAGCCGGCCTTGGTGCCTTCGACCCATTGATACAATGAGAAAACTCACCTCAGTCTGCTAGAAACAACAAGATGCTTAACTGCTAAACAGGAAGATCCCATACTACACAAACAATTATCCTTAATCAGAATTCAGTCACATTCCCAAATCATGGGACTAAGCCTTAAGTCCAAACTCCTAAAATAAGGGCTCAAATGCTTTTTCCCCTTAATGGGCCTAACTATTCATGGCCCAAATGCAATAACGGGCTCTAAGGCCCAAAATGCCCAACTACACCACTTACGGCCCATTAGCAAATTCAAAGGCCCACCTACTCTAAATAGATTAAGGCCCGAACCCAAATAGGGCCTAAATGACCCAAAAGCCCAACACAAGTCCAAAATCTCACTGAGAGCGTAAGCGTGGCGTAATCCCAGTACGTTCAGTGTACTTGCCAGCCATGCAGTACGCTCTGCGTACACCTTGGTACGCTCAGTGTACTTTGTTGCTCAACACCTTCAGCCATATGGTGCTTAATCCAAGCAATCACTTAATCTCACTACCAGATCTCGGTCATTTAAAAGGTCATATGGCATAAAGTTGGCAACTTTATGCCTTAGCATGTCTTATGGGAGTCCAATATCCCATTTTGTTCATCAAAGCTCACTTAAAGGACCTAGATTCATGCATGGCTTCACACCCATCACCAAGATAACATTTTTATGCTTCTAGCATGCCAAAGGGACTAAGATCTAGCATTTCCAGCTTCTGGAGTTGCCTAAACTCACAAAAGAGAATACATTGACCAAAAATTAGCTTATAAACAAACCCTAACTCTAACTATCAAATGGATCAAATGGTATGAGCTTTTTACCTCCAAAAACTTCCTAAGATGATGAAGATTCAAGATCTTGAAGCTCAACCACATCTAAGGATTGCTCACCAACTTCTTTTTCTTGCAAACACACCAAAAAGGCCACCAAAGTCACTTTTAAGCTCAAAGATCACTTTCAATGGCAACTAGTGTTTTAGGGACTTTCAAAGGCAGTGGAGGCTGATAAGAGAAAGGGTCCAAAGGTCATAGGTGAGCTTAAATAGGGCTCATGCCCTAAAATTCGGGTTTTAGCAATTGGCTACGTACGCCCCGTGTATATGGCTTACTGTCCCGACTCCGAACGCCCCGTGTACGAAGGGACCTCTTTTGCAGTAAAATTAATATCTCAAGGACTAAAAGGTAACATACCTGAATCTGAGTGTTACAGATTAAAAAAATATGTCATAACTTGAGATGTGAATTCACCTCCATTATCACTTCTTATTTTTTTAATTTTTTTCCTGAATTGGTTTTCTATCATTTTATAAAAGTTGATCAGACACTTAAAAACATCATTCTTATGTTTGATTAAGAAAATCCACACAGACCTACTTTAATCATCAACAATGGTTAAGAAATAATTTTCCGTTGAAAGTGAAGGTGTACGACACTTTCCCCAAACATCATAGGAATTAACTCAAAACATTCCTTGGTTCTTATTTGACTTAAAGAAAAAAGAGACCTGGTATGTTTTTCCTTTGAACATGAATCACAAACTTTGCACTTGAGTTTAATGGAAATAGTTTTAAGAAAATCTACTTCTGAAAGCTTCCCTTCATAGGTGTGCCCTAGTCTCTTGTGCCATCTCTTAACTGTAACGTGCATTTCGTTTCTTTCATCTTCAAAAATCCCCAATTCGATAAAAACCCCTTCGGCAACCAGCCGCACCAATCAAGTTCTTCGACTGGAGACCTGCATAACACAAAAAATTGGAAAAAAAAGTTATCGCGCATTGGAGATTTTTGGTTAAACGACTCACTTATAAAAGATTGCAATTGAAATTAGGAACGTGCAAGATTCCTTCAATTTGGGTGCCATTCGGTAAGGTATAATTGCCTCTCCCTTCAACCGAAATGGCATATCCATTGGGAATTATGACAGGTTTCTCATTGCATGTTTTGTTTTGTTCGTGAGGATGTCGGCTCTATAATTTGTATGATCAGTGACACCTAAATCAATGACCCAATCATCTTCATCATTCAATCTACATGTCATGTTTGTAGTCGGTACCGTTTCTCCATCTTCAATCTTGGACCCTTCTCCAAAGTGCTTTAAAAAAACTTTATATTGGTTCTCAATTAGTCCGGGAATGGGGCTGGTGTCAATGCAAACAGCCTTTGGTTTATCTTTTTCAGTTTTCCCTTTTTCGGGCCACCACTCCGGATAACCATTGCGTTTGAAACAGTTGTCACGATTGTGACCATCTTTATCACAAAAGGTACATTGCTGCGTTTCAGCTTCATGTTTCATGAGTTTTGGGTTCAGTTTGGCTTTCTATTGCGATGCGTTTCCATCTCGCTTGGTGGGCACGAAGGCCTTGAAAGCAGCAATCTACATGGTGGGTCTTTTATCAATGGTGATGGCTCTTTGGCGTTCATCCTCAACAACAAGGTGATAAGTCGTTCCTAGATTTGGTGTTGGAGTTATGGCGAGGATTTGAGTCTTGATGACATTGAAGTCCATATCGAGCCCCATGAGAAAGGCATAAGCTTTTCTTTTTCTTGATGTTCCACAAGTCGTCTACCGATTTCACAAGTACAACCATTATAGGTGCACTTAGGTGTGGGAAAGACAGATTGGATCTCATCCTATAAAGATCGAAGTTTGGTGTAGTATGCAGAGACTGATGTTCCATCTTTGCGAGTGATAGTGAGTTGGTTCTTCAATTCATAAGCCTTGGGAGCGCATTCCTTACCGAATCTTTCACGAAGATCTTTCCAAATTTCTGAAGCAGTATTGACGTATTTGAAGCTCCCTCTTATCCCCTTTTCCATAGTAGTGGTGAGCCAACCCTTTATCATGGCGTCACATCTCATCCATGCCATGTGGTTCTTCGATGTCTTTTCCAGTTTCTCAATGGTACCATCTATGAAACCGATCTTGCTTTTTGCGAATAGGAAATTTTCCATCTCTTGGACCCAGTCTGCATAATTTTTATCAAACAAAGCTTCGTTGACTTGCATTTGTCTGGGGTAATCAGATGGGTGAAGGTAGTAAGACGAATCATGATCTGGCGTGTTGTTGTTTTTGTTGGAGTTATCTTCATCTCCAGCCATGGAGGCCATTTAGGGTTTTAATAGAGCAGTCGTGGATACTGATTTGATACCATAATAAAAGGATCTTATTATCTTTTCAAAGAAATTAAAGAATATGATTACAAAGAAGGCCTTAAATAGGCAGATAAACAAAAAGAAATAAAAAGATAGCATGTAGGAGATAAAAGGAAACACAATCAAGATAAAAATAAATCCAATACAAATAAGTTTCATATTTTACTTGCTTCGTCAATACTTACGATGTATTGAAAGCAATGCAACTTAGAGCATTCACAATGCATAGTTCAATGGGAGAGTTGAATGAGGTGGCATGCCTAATTGGCATTCAGTTGATTAAACTCCACCATTATGGGATGCCATGTTGGCATTCAATGGATATGGAGTTCAATGGTCATGAAACTCTTCAATGGGAAAAAGAAAACCTATTAACTATTAAATATATATATTCCATTGAACTCTATTGAGTTCAATGTATTGTAGGAAGATTAATGTAGAGTTGTATAGTAAGTAAAATGATGATGTGTGAATCCATTAAACTCTAATAAGTTTAATGCATTGTGGATGCCCTTAACTAGGGTCCTAGGGATAAACTTCAATGAGAGATCTTAACCCCAAAATTGGAGTTATCTTGTAATCGCTAAAGCCAGCATCCACGAAAAGCTTTGCCCAATCTCTTTCACTCCTCTCTCTTCCTGTCACCAAGGTCATCATAAGCATATCAAAGAAAAGCTGAGTCTCGAGTAATTCCTTGTCCCCTTCATCGTTCTTCAACACCATGTCTATGATGATTACTTTTCCTCCCTTTTCCTTGCTGGGGATTGCCTCTTTGCACTGCATCAATATCTTTATGCATTCTTCATCACTCCAATCATGTAATATCCACTATTTTATCAAAGCACAAAAGCAATTAATAAACAAGATAAACAATTATTGTACATAAACCTTCGTCCTAACTTATAATGTAAATTATCAGTAAATCTTTCAACCAACTATATTTGGTCTATCAAAAAGATTAAAAAATTTGTCCAAGATGAAACGGAATAATTTTAAGATAGGAAAATTAAGTGAAAATAATAATAATAATAATAATAAAGAATACCTTGACCAAAACTGCATCAGCTTTTGGAATGGATTCAAACATGTCTCCACCAAGAAAACTCAAATTCTTACTTCCTACCAAACCATCAACAACATGAGGAAGATCAAAAGAGATGCAAGTTATATCAGGAAAAGCTTCCGCAATGGCTTTGGCAACGGTTCCAGTACCACCCCCTACATCAACAATTGAATTCAACCTTTCAAAAACATTTGTAGAGTGTTTTAGAATCAGACTTGTCACAAGCCTTGCATCACTGCCCATTGCTTCATTGAAGAACTGGTTAAGGTTCGGATCTTGGCCTGCAAAATCCCAAAGATTCCTTCCGTGGGTTGTCAGAAAAGGGTTGATGTCATCGTTCTGGAACCATTTGCTCATGTGTTGCCATGGATCCATCAGTATTGGATCCAACATGGCTAGCAAAAAGGGCCTAATGCTTAATGGCTCTTCCTTTAGAAGGAAGCGAGAAGCAGGAGCTAGCAAATAGCCTTCTCTTTCCTCCTCCACGTGGTCTCCAGTTGTGGATATACTTTGTTTCATAAAGAAACCAGAGTGAACAAGGATGCGCATAAGTCTATAGACAAAATGAGCTCTCTCCTTGTTGATGGAGAGGGCTTCAACTAGCTCGGAGAGCAACATTGGTGCACCATGGCGATTGATGATATCAGGTATTTGAAGCTGAATAGCACATTTGAGACACATGGAGTTTATAAAGCTGAAGATGTGGTTCCATATGTGAGCTTGAAAATGAAGCAAGTTTGTAGACTGTTCATCATCTTGCAACGACATCTCATTTCATACAATGTATATGTGATAGACAATTTGAAACTGTTATATAGGAAAAATATCTGACTACATTGGGGATGGATTTCATAAAGTAAAGTAAAACAAAACACATCTCAAGGTGCCAACTGATGTGGGTACTCATTTATTTCTTATCACAGAAACACACAATTATTTTAAGTATTTTTTTTAACTTTTCTTTAAAAGTAATATCACGTGGTTTTTGTAAAATAATATCATAGGTGTATTTTATATTTAAGGGATATCTAAAACAATATCATTTTTTGATATAATATCTATACAGATAGCAACTTTTTATCAACAATCAAATAAATATGCAACTACAACAACAATTGCCTCGAAAATTTATTAGAACAAACAAATAAATATAAACGACGGCTAATTTATAAGGTTAAGTTGTGAAATTTAAAAATTTCCAAAATCATGATTGTCCATAAAAAACTATAAATTAATCTAAAATGTTTAAACTTTGCTTGTCAATCGGACATCGTTCTTACCCATTTCGTTAAGTACAAGAACGTCAAACGTTGTCATTCTTGGACGTGTCGTAATCACATGCGACACATGTTCGTAGAATGTAACAAATTCAATGATATAATCGTGTGCAACAAACATCCTTGAAACTTCATTTAAGTGAGATTTTCTTTCTTTTCGGATTTTTTATTGTTTTTTATTATTTTATTTTTTTCATTATTTTTATTTTTCATTACTTTTTGATTTTTTTAATGTTTTAAATATATATTTGAAGTTTTTTGTGTTTTCTTGTTTTTATTTTTTACTTTTTTGGATTTAAGATCCGTTCGAGTTTTGATGTTGAACAATTATAAAAAATTTGAATCGTAAGAGATTAAATGTCATAATATTTTCGGATCATAATATATTTTTGATCAAATATTATCTATAACAATAATGTATGATTCTCATTAGGTCATCTGTTATACCCACCACTAACCACTATAGTAGGGAGTGTCACATCACCACCATACTTCCTACCACTAAGCATGAGATACTTACTATTAAACACACCACTCCATCTCCTTTTTTAATTAAATTTAATTCAAAAACACATAAAAAAAAACATATAACTTTTTTAAATACTACTTTTTCATTAAATTAAAATACCACATTACATTAAAAAAAATTACATTAATTAAAACAAAAAAATAAAAATAACAATAAAAATAAAAAACATAAAAATACCAAACATAAACTAAAATAAACTACCCCCTATTCCTACGTCGGGCTCGAACGAACTCTTTCATCGCGAGAAAAAAGCTCCAAATTTTCGCCTTCGAGGTCGTCCGCTTTCATTTTCAAGATTTTCATATCGATTTTTGTTTGAAGCGTCGCGTGTGCCTCTTAAAATAACGTTTGCGCTTCAATCATTTTTTTTCCACCCAATTCATTATCTCGGCCTAGTTCTCTTGAACTTCCACATATCGATCAAATTTGTCTCCAAAATGATCCATAACACTAGATCACGTAGACGTCGAACCCGTTTTTTTGGCTTTACTTCTTGCAATGGGCCGACGAAGAGGTTGCTCGTTTTCAAGATCGATCGGATCATCGTTGATGTCAATGTATGTTCGTCCGTCCGATTGTTGGGAAGTTGCATCCGGGTTTCTTGAATGCTTTGAACCGAAAGAGATTTGTGAAGTTCCTTCCATTTGTTGTATCCATTTTGGAGGGTCTTTCAATTTTAGCGACGCTTTCACATACAGAAAAGCTTTGCAGGTTGGCGTTGTTTTTTCAAATTGGTCCAAGTCCGCCTTGAAGACATCAAAATCGTTTGACCCTCTTGAGCGTATGTTTTGGAGGTTGTTGTAAATTCCTCCAAATTTTGTGCATTTTAGTCGAATAGCGCGCCACTTAGAACTAAGTTGATCGGTATTTCGAGATTCACTTCTCGTTAACGCATATAAAACACGCTTCGAACTTTCTCCCAAAAACAATTGAAGGTTTGATTATCTCCTTCAATTGGGTCTTGGGAAGCCTAAACCCCACCTCCACTAGCTTTTCTTTTTCCTCTTTTGTCCATGCCACCCTTTCTTGGGTAGTAGTGGGTCGTGCCGATTTTTTTTCCATTCTTCTGTCACAACTAGCATTTTTAGCTAGAAAATTTTATTCTCATGTAAACATCATCTATTGTAAGGCATGTACTCTAAGTTAAAATCATACTCTATGCTTAATCAAAATCATCCATTTGAATCGAACCTCACTCAAAAAGCCCATAACCTAATACAATACATTCCATATAGTCAACTATGGGTTGAAAACCCTAAAAATCCCGGTTCAAGTTAATATGGACTAGGATCCTCTTATTGGGCCTAATGGACCAATAAACTTTCAATTTGACTACTTTCGGCCTAGGAACCCTATTTGGGATCTAGTTGGACCCACATCCATGAAATTAAGGTATTTTGGGTCATATGGGCCTAGAATAATCCATCTTATTTCAAATGGGCCATAACTAGTTTCATAAGCCCTAATGGGTCGTAAACTATCCTCTTGGGTTTCATTGGGCCGTGAACCTCCATAAAATCCCAATAGGCCGAAAAATAGTTACTTTGGGCCTCATAAACTCGAAATAAGACAAGAGAGGGCCCAAATCTTCTCATTTCCTTTCTCCTTACCCTAATCTCGGCCCAACAATAATACAAAAAAAATGGGGGAAATGGAAGAGGATTTAAGCTTGACAACACATAATTATCTATCATGTATCAAGATAATCACATACATCTAGGAACCTATTACCCACCATGCAAACTTTTCTAATCTCTCTCCTCTCTTCCTCTCTATTTACGGCCGAACACACCTCCTCACCACCTCCACTTTTCTTTCAAACTCTCTCAAATATCCTCTCAATAACTCCCTTTTCCTCCTCAAAATTCTGTGACCTTGGTGTGTGTTTTCAAGAGGTTTTCATCAAGTTCATCACTCTTAGTAAGTCTTTGCTTAAACCTATGGTCTAACTTCAAGATTTCATCAAAAAAAAAATCTCCTTAACCCACCTCATTTCATGATCTATACTCTTGAACTTCATAGATTTCGAAAACCTCCTCAAGGAAACTCCTAGGGCCAAAAATCTTCTTCAAACTCTTCATCAAACCGAAAACATCAAAGAAATGTGAGTTCATACCCCCTTGTTTTCGGTTTTCACTATGTTTTGGGGGAGGATACAAGTTGCTTTGTGTTAGATCTATGTATTGTGCATGTCTATGTGTGTTTTCTATGTTATGTGTTGTGATTTTGTGATGAAACTCCATAAATCTCGAAAACTCTAACAAAAACTTGATGATATTTGTGAACTAAACCACTTTATATAACTTACCTTGAAGATGAAAGCATTATACATGTTAAAGATGTTGAAAAACTAAACTAGATCTTGTAAAGGGACCATTTTTGATAAATAAACAAAAAGAATGAAGTTTTTATGATACTTACGGTTTTACAAGGACTAAAAGAATCATAATTATATAAAATAGGTCTTTATGATAATCATAGTTTTAAAAGGGCCAAAAGTGAAAATTTTCGCATGATGGGCCTTAATATGGGCCTTCACGGTTTCATTGGGCTTATTTTGTAAATTTATGATTTTTATGGATTAAATTGTCATTTAACACAAATTTGAGCCAAAAATGTAAATTTACGGTTTTATGGGTTGAAAATGTCACTTTATTTGGATTTGGGCCTAAAATGTTATTTTCACAAAACTTGGGCCGAAATGTCATTTTTATCTAAAATGGGCTGAAAATGTAAATTTTTATAATAATGGGCCGAAAACATCAATTTATATATATATACTTGGGCCAAAAATGTCAATTTATATACAATTGGGCCGAAGATGTCAATTTTCATGATATTGGGCCAAAAATGTAATTTTTAATCAAAATGGGCTAAAAATGTCATTTTATTTAGATAAGCCCATAAATGTAAACTTTTGATCTTAAGGGACCTAAAGTGTCAACTTTACCAAAAATGTGCCTAAATTGTAAATTTTCGGCTTAATGGGTCAAAAATATCACTATTACAAAATTAGGTCTTTTATGTTATTTTGGTAAACAATCGAACAAAAAACAAACAACGTAATAACAAACGGACTAAATACATTGATTACACGTTTATTGGGCCTAATACTTACCTTACATGTTTATTGGGCCTTAAGGGTCCATTTACATGCTTATTGGGTCTGGAATGTACATCACATGTTTATTGGGCCTTTGTGGCCCATTTACATGCTTATTGGGCCTAGACTATACATTACATGTTTATTGGGCCTTAGTGGTCCTCCTACATGTCTGTTGGGCCTCGTACATTCAAATACATACTCGTTGGACTTTTCAAACATAAAACGTACTCGGAAAAACATTATACATAACATGATACCATATTCGTGTAAACACAGTTAAGGATCTAGTGAGACATGTCGGTTGACACCTCTAGAGTGTACGATCGTAGCTTGTAGTTATAACCAGAGTCTCCTGGAGGGAGAGCGAGAGTTTGTGTATAGATCTATACGGGGTGACACCCCACACCTGAGCTGTTCGCTACAGTTAGACTAGTCCAGTGTAGGGTGACAAACCTTCCCTTAAACAAGTTTGCGCCTGAAAACGCCACGACTGGCGAATTCGTCATAATCAAGTATGGTTAAAACGGCTCACATAGAGATTCTCTCATACATAATTTTATGGAACACATATAAAATCTTGTTGATACGAAAACATACATAAACTGATATTCGGTCTTAGGGTTGAGACCACGACACTTTTATAAACAGAAAATATCGGATTTTCTGGGGAATCATACAGTTAAACAATACCTTCTACTTATAACAGAAAATACAGGATTTTTATCCGGATTACATTTTTATATAGATTCCAAAACTGAAAACACACATGCATTAATACTTGATTTTGATACATCACTTTCAAACCATTTTACAGAAAATATCGGATTTTCTGGTGTTTTACGAACAATACAAAACTTTTCATTCAAACATGCTTATGAACTCACCAACATTATATATGTTGACGTTTTCAAAATAACTTGTATTCTTAGGGAATCGTTAAGCGGAAAGGTCAACAAGAACA